TTTTTCAATTGAAAAAACCGCCATTACTTAATAGCCAACCTAATAGGTCATCCTACACAAGAACGTGGAAGGTTTCATCGGATAAAGAGGAAAAGTGAAGACGAAAACATGTAAAAAAAGTAGCATTTTGGCTTCAGATTAAGTAGATCACTCATTGATTGATGAACCGCTCCCAGTGACCCGGTAGCGTTCGGAACCTGGCACCTTCGACATCTCGACAAGTGCGAGCAAATTGCTCTTGATGTCAGTCTCGGCCAATGACTAGACGTCGTAGCGGTTGCCGTTGAACAGTACTTTTGACTGATCAGAACAGGTAAAATTGCACGGCTGTAGGTCGGGCGAATAGGACGATTGAACCCAGCTCTCAGTATTGTTTGTGTCCGAGCACTGCCCAATAATACGGTTACTCGGAGTCTGGGCTGTGACGAGCCCAGTTGCACGTATACATAAAGACATGAGCTTCCAAATGATATCTGCCCATAACCATGGCACCTTTGCTTCCAGCCATTCCTCTTTATGTCTACACGCTTCTGAGTGGAATGGCATCTCAGTTGATTTTTCCTGATCACTCGGTGTACTCTTCTGAGTGATGAACTAGTTCATGTAGCAAATATACGAGATACAGTAGAATAAGCAAGGCTGACCATAAGCTGAAGATTCCTCAACGAAAAGAGGACGGATCGTGTCTGGCCACGGTGTCGTTTCTGCTCCTATCACAGCAGCCATGTAGCTTCCAGGATGGGTGATGGAAGCACAGCTGATGGCTGGTGCTGCAGAATAAACAAATCAGAGAGAGAACGAAAATGCTTCTTTAGGAGGCCAAACTGCTGTGCCTCTCCCCTCTCCTCCCCTAGCCCTCACGGACATGCAGAATCCAAAAGAGCTTCAAAGAATACCAGCCCCAGAGTTTCTCAAATGAGGGCCAGTCGGATCGCCGCGTGTGAAGTGGGTATTGCTCCAGAGTTTCTCAAATGTGATCGCCGCCTATGAAGTGGGTATTGCCCCAGAGTTTTTTTGAATGAGGGCCAGTCGGATCGCCTCGTGTGAAGTGGGTATTGCTCCAGAGTTTCTCAAATGTGATCGCCGCGTGTGGAGTGGTTATTGCCCCAGAGTTTCTCAAATGAAGAAAGTCGGATCGCCGCGTGTGAAGTGGGTATTGCCCCAGAGTTCTCCGAATGAGACCTGGTAGGATCGCCGCGTGTGAAGTGGGTTATTGCCCCAGAGTTTCTCAAATGAGGGCCAGTCGGATGTCCGCGTAAGAAGTGGGTATTGCGCCAGAGTTTCTCAAATGTGATCGCCTCCTGTGAGCTGGGAATCGCCTACAATACGCTGGCAAAAGACAAGGAGCCCAGAAGACTACGCTGCCTACAAGAGCTGCAAGCGACTCGCTAAGGCAGCCGTTGCTAAGGCCAAGAATACGGAAATGGACGCCCTGTACGAGAAGCTGGAGGGCCGAGAAGGGACAAGTTCGTCTTTTTTCTTCCGCCTGGCTAAAGCTCGACATCGTGCAGCTCAGGACATCAGGGTCGTAAAGACTGTGAAGAGCAGCAACGGGGCCATTCTCAGGAAACCAGCCG